GCTTGTTATTCACTTGATTTAATGATGTGCTTGTTTTGAAGTTGTGCACAGCAAACGAGGTTGGCTGCAAAGCTGCTATTCATCCTTTTCTTCATGTCTATTAATAATACTATTGGTGGAGATCTTCACCCTCTGTTGTCTATTTTTTATTCGCTTTTCTCTATAGTCAGACCCTATAAAAGCAAGTGCCTTATTATTCTTTGCACTTGATGCAAAAATGGTAAATCTGTAGATTTAGTTGAGATTTTAATTCTTAATCATAAATCTGTGTGTTAAGGAGGCAACTTTTTTATTCCTGTGAAATTTTAATCAAAGTTTGATGTTTTCAATGTCCAACAACAGTGCTTGGTGTCTTTTGAAACTCATTTTCATCTAAATAGGACCACCGGAGAAGAATCAGCTCAAAAATCTGTTCACTCCATTATAGTAAACAGACAAAGAACAAGAGAATAAAAAAGAAAATCCCACCAAAACCATCACTGCACTACCAGCAAAGTGAGCTCATAGGAAAATACAACCATCTTCTTCCCTCAGGAAACATCTGGGCCAACACTTCAGTTTCACGACTCATCAGCAGAGAAAAAAACAGGGCAGGGGTGGGAGGGTGTGTCCTGGCGCAGGGGGATAAAGGTCTCTGGCCTGGTTTTTACTTTTAACTCTGTGGCGGAGGAGCAATCAGGAGGATTATAGGTAATTCATTGTTTCCACTGAGAACTACTCTGAGGCAGCAAAAGTAGGTTTAGACGGTATATCAGGGCTTTTATTTCTAAATAAATCTAAAGCTGCAGTTCTACATGAGAGATAACATGGGAGATTAATGGAAAAACAGCCGTTTCTGATGTTTTGTCAGCAATGAAAATAGTTGTATACTTGCTACTATGCAGGATCTTTCCAGATTCAGAGTAAGCCTTTCAGCTTTGACTATGTTTAGCAGTGAGACTGATCAGACTGCGTACAGGAAAAGAGTCCGTCAACTTATTTGACAGAAATCTATGCATTTTTTTTTTTACCGTTTTTGAAAAATAAATAAACAAAAGAGTCAATTTTGCTTAGAAAAACGACACCCCAATTAACAAACAAAAAAACACTCTCAATTCCCATAATTTCGGCTATAGCTAAAATTAGTCAGGGGGGAAACTATTGTAACACTTAAGAACAAAACGTAATGCAACGCAAAAAGACGCCATTGGAGACAGCAGTGACCTGTGCCGATTCTACAGTGGTTTTTGTGCTTTCACTCAGATAATATGAAACTTGTATTTTATCGTCATATAGCACTTTCTTAACTTTGGTTAGCCATCAGACTATCACATCAGTACTGGATAACATGTAATATGCTAATTTTATGCCACCTTTATAACATGCATACATCTTTATTTCTACCTTTATTGCAAATGTAGTGCACAAAGCTGCACTTGCAATGCAACAAACTATTCTTGTCCCTTTTAGTTGTAGTCCCATGCTTTTGACTGTAAAGCAGATTCGTATATGCTTTTTGATGCAGCAAGTGCTTACATTTGAGCTAGCCTTAGCAATAGTGCCCCATATTAGAGAAATGGCACATATCAGAGTAAAATGGCAGCGTGGAGATCTGCTGTGGTAAATGTCAATGAGACACAGAGGGAGTCCTCAGTCTGATTTGAACTTTAGAATTTGTAGAATAGAAAGTACCATGACATTCCCCAAATCCAAATACATGTGCAACCATTTAGGTCAGCCTTCAATTTGTCATCGATTTAACAGCCGTTGAATAACAGCTGCTGCATCAACAAGCATGTATAGAACATTTTAAAAGCATGTTACTAAGCAACAGAAAGGACCACAAGAGTTCAGTCTTCATTTGTTTCAAGCTCATGTTCTTGCATTACATCGGCAATTAAGGTAGAGATAAAAGTCTGCATTTACAACAGAACTTGTCGTTAAGTTAGGTAACTAGCATCAAATATCTTGAAAAGGGCAGCACTGATGTGACAGTGTGATGACCAGCAAAGAGTGGCCAACCAATATTAAGCAGCTCCTACCAGTGGAGAGTGGATCACAAAAACACAAGTGGCATACAGTCTGAGAGCAGCAGCCAATCACTGTAGAATCAGCATCCAGCACAACACCAGAAGTGACGACTTTTTAACATCTCTCATTACAACTAAAAGGCCTTGACTGTAACACATTATATGTCAGGCCTGGTCTTTCCAAAATCTTTGGTACAGAAAGCCTCCAGAGAAGAGTAACTGCTGTTCTCGCAGCAGCCAAATACTAAAACTTGTCAAATAATACTCAACAATGCAGTATGGCTGCACTGCTATCGTGCCTATGCGCACTTGGCATGAGCTGGATCATTAAAACTACAGATACACAGTGTTAAGTCCAGGGTTTTTCCTGCACAGAGAAAGTTTTGCTGAAACAGTCATGTAAACAACGATAGACACCAACCTTCTTATCATCTGGCTATCTGCTTCTCAAGACACCACCTCAGGAACACCGCCTGCTGGCAGAAGAAGCCTCATCTCTCCCCACTTTTCTTTATGTCACACTGGAGCTCTCACATTTCATGGAACGGCATCTACTTCAGAATGACACCTAGCAGAAGACAATAAAAGATATCTTTGTAAGTTTGGTTGGACAACATTAGGCTTGTTGTCTGTAACCTTCCTTGTCTTAAGAGCAAAGATCACGCAATAATTTATAGGTAATAGTTTAATTTGGATATTTATAATCTAGTGTCTGAATACAATGGTGGTATTATAAGCTATTATAAAGATATTTATTACATTTGTAATTATTTTTGATATGTTCCTAGGTATATACTGGGTTTATATTCTACATAAATTACATCCTAGGTAGATAAGTAAACTCTCTTATCTGTTTGTTGTACATCTTTATATTCAAGGGCTGTTGTCTGCATTTTGCTGCAGGTTACAGCTCGCTGAAAAAAACTAAAATTTAAAAACCAATACAATATACAGTAGGATGCAAGAAGGATTTCAGCTTTATTAAAATATTATAAAGTAAACATTCATATTCCCAGCTCCCAGTACACCACACACCAAAAAAAACAACTTAATTTTGGGGCAATATCAACACATTCAAACCTGTGCATTATAATTATTTGCAAAATCAGTGCATATCATATCTTATTTACTGGATAAATAATGAGCCTCTGTTTTATTTTCCCTTTTGCCATTGTGAATTATAGCATATGAGCTTCATTGATTACGGCTTTTTCATACTTGGAGCTCTGATCAGCTGTAAACTTGTTGTATCCTATCTCACGATCGATTAAAGTCAAGAGTTTGTTAAACCTGCCTCCTGCCACAGAGCCCTGTTCAGACTTAAACGTTGTCAGACTGACCTGATGTGTTGTTTCGTGGAGCTATCTCTTCAGATTACATCCAGCCTGGCGTTAATTAGCAGCACCTGGTTGTTGTCTAGTAATTGCCTCACTGACAGAAAGCTACAGTTGTGTTGTTTTCAATGCTCGAACATATTCCACCTTTAACAGACAGTGCATTTCCATATATTAAGCATAAGTTTCACACAACTGTCTAAGACACACAAGAAACAAAATTCTCAAGGAGTTGCCGGGTAGCTGAAATGTCGCAGTTACAATGAGAAGTTAGGGGGCTCGCTTGCTGAAGTTTAGGTTTTTAACACACAGCGACAATATATATATATATATATATAAAAACCTGGACACGTGGCCTAAATAATTCATTCTCATGGCAGAAAAATAAAGAGGAAGCGCACAGCTACTTTTAAGGCCTACTTAAATGTTTACTTTATGTACTCGTAAGGGAAAATATAGTAAGTGAACACGATACGTGATAAACTTAGCTCCAACCTGCAGCAGCATCTTCACCTTGTCAGCAGCACACCTGCAGCTGATTCGCCTACCCACGTTTGCGCCTGCGCGAAAACAGCTGTGACCTTCACGTAAACAAAGGACCTATTTATTACTTTATATATGATGCTTCCGTGTAATGTTCAACCTTTCTCTCCCATATGGTTTGGGCTGCAGTAGACATATTAAAGATATTTTTGAAGTTATTTACGAAAGTGTGTAATTATTTTTGAAATGTTTCAGTGAATGGGATTATTCTGAGGCCATAAAATAAGCAAATAAACTGAAAGTTTATTCATTTTAGGAGGAAATGTGACTTCCTTGAGGCATTTCAGTTCAAATGAATCTGCTTCATTAATTATCCCATGCTATCTTTTGAGAGAAAAAAGGTGAAATTTTAATTTCATAATATATTAATTCCTGATGATGCTTATGAGGACATATTCTAATCTTTCAACATTAATCAACATTTGTATTAAGGGGAAAAAAAGACTTGTTGCTTGTTGTTAGAGACACCTTGTGTTGAAGAATGTGATGAACAAATGCACTTTAGATTAAAAGACCAAGGCTGGTATGCATAATTCAAATGCTGTTTATATTCTGTTAGTGCAATTAGGCATCATTTGTATCCGTCAATGTGACAATGTGTAAAGATCTTGATGAAACAGCCAACATTTACTCAAGTAATTTACTTTCATATACTTTTGACATACTTGTACTTTTAGTATTTCCATTTTATGCTACTTTATGCTTCCATAGCACTAGATAAGAAATATTGGACTTTAAACTAAACTTTATTCATCTGACAGCTTTAGTTCGTTTCACAGACCTTTAAAATATAACACATTGTTACAGATTAAATAATTTGAGGCACATTTCAGATGTCTATAAGTTGTTAAAACCAAATAGTGTTTTTTCCCCTTTGAACATCTGGCATGGTTTAATTTAACGAGATGTTAAATGTATTCAATATCTCACCAAAAATCCAAAATTAGAGGAAAAAGAAAAAACCCAAATTGAAAACAGATTTCAGTATCAGAACCTTTTCTTCTTTATCTGCTGCCCCCCTGTATATTTGTTTTGGAAGAACAGGGAATCAGTTAGTCAATATCTACTTTAATCAACACTAAGCACTAAACGACATGAATCAAACATCTCATGATTATGGTCATAGTATTCTTAATATACTTTATTAGCAATGTCAGGATCAAACATTCCAGCATAGAAGCCATACCTGTCCAGCATGACAACATATACTTACACTGATAGATAGAATAGACTGTTTACACCACAGATTGCAATGAAAGTTTGTGTCAATAACACAGCTGTATTACATAGTAATAGGCTATTCATGATCAGATCAAACCATATTCACCTGCACCAACAGCAGCACAGAGGTACTGATTTACAGCCTAAATCATCACAGTATGTAAGATACCTTTGTATCTTTGATCATATGCACCATTGCATAAGTAATGAACCCACCATAAGTTATTTTTACTTCACTGTGACAAATCAGTGAATTACCAGTGAATTAAAATTGGCAATGAAATGATTCCAGTGTGATCAAATGAACAATAAATCAAAATAGATTGCATCTGTCACATTTGACATGTACAGTAAACACATTTAAAACAATGCAAGGAGGAGGTAAAATTCTATTCAAGAAGATTCAGTTTGTTTCACCACCAAGCCCCGAAGAAATAATCTGTTTGACTATTTTCTATAAACATTTGATTAGAAAATATGCTCAGAAAGCTCCTAAATCCCAGAGAGACCGGAGCTTATGGAGATTGCACAAACAAGACCGCACGGCATTGGGTAACACAACACAATGGAACAGAATTGATTCACACCAGCCTTTGAATGAGGGCGGCCGGTCATGCACATCATGCCTGAGTTAAGAGCATGCTACGTCAACAAGTAGCAGCCCACACCATGCTGCATTCACCCCTTACAGAAATGTGATCATACAGCTTTAAAATATCTCCCCAAAACAGCAATAAAATTGATCAAAGCCCTTGAGCACTTCATCAGCTGCATTCACTTCTTCTGGCAGTAGTTGGCGTAATTGCTGCAGGCCTTCTGCATGTTTCTTAGGAAACCTGGAACTCCGCTCTGTTCAAAACAACACACACACACACAAAGAGCATCTCTATCAGCGAGCATCATGGACACGTGCCAGGAAGACCCACCTAGGAGGGGCAACGGAGAGAGGAACTGTTGACGTCACCTTGCAACACATCTGCAAACAATGACGGAAAACCATAAAGCAAACAGACAGATGGAGCTCTCAGGGGCCTGTCAGTGAACTCTTTTAAAACCTTCATTAAAGATCCGTTAAACCAGGTCAACAATGAACATATGCACATTGTGATGAGCTGGTGGGAAATGTTTTGTTTGAGATTTCCACGGCAGTTACATTCAAGTCAAACGAGTTCACACAATGCTGATTAAGCCTATGAGCACAGGGTAAACCTTTGTATTTCACAGTAAAGACACAGTAGTTTATCCCAGTGAGGAAAGTCTGTGCATGTGATCCATCTGTAACTGTTCAGTGCAGTTCAGTCCCCTTAAGCTATTTAATCAAGCTTAAAAAGGATAATTTTTTCTTATAGGTAAAATTCAAAATGTTTTATTCCTGCATTGTTTATATGTGTTGCAGTGACAATAATCTGCAGACACAATATGTAAAATGACCATACTCACCTTCGCCGCCCAGTTCACCAGCCAGGTAGGAATCATTCCACCAGGGTTGTCAAAGTAGTTCATGAAAACTGAAACACAGTACATGTTACTCGTCTAAAGGTAGCTAAAGGTAGTTTTTCTCAAAGCAAACTCAATGGTTTACTTTATAAAATGTGAAAAGGGGGGGTGAAAAAAAGGGTTATCAACATAAAAACAACAATCTCAAGTTGAGTCAAAAAAGTTCACACAAATAAAAAATTCCGTTGTTTGAATTAAAGATTACAAGCTAATTTTAGAGGACGCAAGATTTTCCTAAAAGTCTGCATGTATACTTGCACAAAAGTAATCAATCATTATTTAGCTTTGTTCAGGATGTTGTTGTGTCGCAAACTTTGCACAGTGGATGGGTATCTTCCAGCTAACAGCAGCATGTGAGGTTGAGATTTTATAAAAGGTAGTCACCAAACAGCTACATAAATAGCAAACACACTCCAAAAATGCAAATATGTGGTGCAGTCAAAAAGTTCAGCGACTGCTCCTGTTGCATGTGCACAGAGGATGTCACAATCATATGCAATTTCACCGTGGAGCTCAAATTAGAGCAGAGAGCAAACTTCACATCCTGTGTCAGTCAGCAGCCATGATGAGCTAAACTTAAAGTCGAGGATCATCACCGGTGACAAGAGGAGGGTCTGCAGCTACCACCCAGAGAAAAAACAACAGTCTACACAGTGGAGGAACTGCAGCCTTCAAGATTAAAGAAGGCATGGCGGGACAGGAGTGCATGCTTGCTGTTTTCTTTAACCGTCACGTGGGTGTGCACTGGGAATTAACTCCCCATAGTTGGACTGTCAAAGCAGAGTTCTACAGTATTGTCCAAAGGTGTCGGAGCACAAATGACCTCAACTGTAGCACAGTGGCATGTACGTATGCCAATGCGTGGTATTAAATGAATACTGTGACTTTCTCTCCTAACCACAATGAAATTCAAGTTGAAGAGATGTCGTTTTGACACAGTTTGGGAGATTCAGCACCTATCGCAGATGATGTTAGACGTGGTAATGAATGGGACTTCTAGAATCATTACATGGGAGCGGTGTATTGTCGCACAAGGAGACAAAAAATGATGTTTATAGGTGCAATCTCAGAACTTTCTGATAACACCTTGTATGTCGATGCGAAACACAAAGTGGACAAAGTGAGGACGGATCTGGCGTTGGCTTTCACCGACTGGCAAGGAGAGGATAGAGATGAAAAGCGGCACATAGTGGTGCTGTTTTTTTTGTTAGACAGGTTGGTGCTGGTGGTTAGTTTAATTAGCTTGCTGGAGTATCGGCTTTTCCACAACAACAAATGTAACCGAACCACAAGAGTAGCTTGCAGCGCTTCTGGTTACATTAAGGAAGGAAGGAGGGGCAAAGTTTGACTGTTCCTGCAGAGTATACCTTTAATGAAAAACAAACCAAGTGACTACTTTTTGATTTTGCCTGCATTTGCTATATCATGAATGTATTGAGTTTGTTGAGATGCGGGGGAAAAAAGCAAAGCTGGAAGCAGAGAACATTCCACATTTTGTGCTCCATAAATGATCTCAAGGATTAATCCATTATCGACTTTGTTGACAATTAATTTTCTGTCAAGCTGCTTTCAGAAAATTAAAATGAACTGTTAATCAGTTTACATTCAATCTAGCACCACTTTATTCTGATAAAGCGGCAGTTCTGTCGCTGTGTTCCTTCATCTCGTGTTACCTTTAGTTCCACAGGATCCGTCGCTCTCCATGGCGACGCTCTGCTTGTAGTCTTTGACTCTCAGCACGCCGCTCTTTTCTGCACATGGCGTCTCTGGGGAGCTTCTGGCCAGGATCACCCAGATCTTCCTGCCGTCTACGTCCAGGTCTCTACGTTCCCTCACGTACACATACTAAGGTTTGAGCTGTTAGGGAACGCACCCAGATTATACTCTATAAAGCTTCTATACCAGAAGGTCAGAGAGATTTTAAATGTTTGTCTAGTGTTTGAAGGATACATCTCTGTTTGACAGAGGAAATGGGTACTTCACTTCCCAGTAGATTGCTGATTGTCCGTCAAAGTCCTTCTCATACAGCTCTGAATAAGAAAAAAAAAACACATTAGATACAAGAGCAGATAAACATCAGCTGCAAATGGGTGGATACATGACATAACTGGAAGTGATTGTAAAAAATGTTCTAAACTTACATAAGGTAAGGAATGGCTATGGGAATTAAGATTTCCTCTGATAAAGTTGAAATACACAAATATGCACCTTCAGCAGGGTCCACTTGAAGGCAGCAGTACAGTCATATATTGGACAAAGGAAAAACATTTCAAGACTTCACAAGCTGCAGCTCTCTCACACACAAATCTAAGAGAGCCAGATAAGTTGGGCTGTGTTTCACTTCAGCAGGTTTTAATCAAATATCCTCTCTAATGTTGTTTTTGTCTCGGATTTTCAGGACAGAACATTTCTCCTTCCAACAACATGTTGCAGGTTAAAGCTCATTTGGCTGAGGTCACAAGAACAACAGTGACTCCCTTGTTGAGAACCTGAAGACCTTCAACTTTATTTTCATGATAAAGAGCGTCGGCGAAGACAAGGGTAAATTACTTTCATCTATCTGTGGACCGTTTGTTGTTTCGATCAAATATCTGAAATCACTCCTTATTTACAAAAGAGCGCACTACGTTTGTGGTCCATGTGTTTATTAAGTGTAAATGTATCCACGACCCAACGTACTCAAAAAAATTACAATCAAACAAACAAGTTGCGTCCAGGGTGGGGCAGTTAAATTTGAGGAAAAATATCCAATATCAGTTTTTTAGACAGTGATTTAATTTGCAGTACAACATTTTAAAAAGTCAACCTTTGCTGTGTAAGAGATGGAAAATAGCATGAATTTGTAAAACCATGAACACGGCAG